CTAGATTTCCTTCCCTTTTTTTAAAAATAAAAATAAAAATTTTATGAAATTGTGCATTCAAAAATAAATACTCGTAATTAAAATGAGAATGTCATTAATTATAATTTTGGTACATAACCTTTCTTTTTAAGAAGGTTAATGATACATTAACTTAATAATTGCGTGATTTGGTAGTAATTTAAATTTGGCACCTCAATATATAATATATATATATGGTGATACAGATTTAATTGTAATTGAACAAAGAAAAAAAGTTAAACATTCCAATTTAAACAAATAAAAGAATTTAAAAATCCCAATATTCTGCGAATTGATTTTCCTTTTCCTTCCCTTACTTTCTTTTCTTTTCCTCATCAGAATCCCTAACTTGTTGGTGATGGTAAATCAGAAATATGTAAGGGTCTAAAAAAGGAATAAGCAGAACAATGAGGGTCATAAATACAAATATGCAAAAATGTTAAGACCCAAAAAGAAAGCATATCTTTCTCCTTCTTTCTGAAGGTGTAAATTATTGATAGTCAGGGTGCTCACTCGTAAATCAAAATTCCGGAGATCCAAAAGTCAAAATTTCCTTTCCTTCCTCAGAAATGGCTCACTATTTGACTATTGACTTCGAGATTCGTGTTATTTGATTTTTGGCAATCTTTAAGGATACTTTGGGTAATATGATAAAGGACGGAGGGCAGTATTGGTACAATAGTGGCAATAAATACGTGGTGAGAGAGAGCTCTCATCTATGCTCTCATCCAAACAGGAAACAAGAGGAAGTGGGGAGAGAAGATTGAAGAAGAAGAAGGGGGATTAATCAGCGGCCACAAGGTGCAACGTTTGTTCTCCAAAGCCCGGTAATCTACGGCCCTTATTAAACGATCAAGATCGCGACTGAGATTCGTCTTCTTTGTTTAAAACCTAGAAGAAGGAGAAGAGGAAGACGAAGAGGAAGAAGAAGAGCAATCAGATTCGAAAGCGTTTTTTGGTTTGCTTTGGCCAGATTATGAAGGATTTTGATATTGTTAGGGGCCGGAGTCTCTTCGTTGTTGATCGATTCGATTCGTTTTGACCGTGACGGCGATTGTTGGAAAATTGAAAGAACAGGTATTGAAAACCCTAAAGCTTTTGATAATTTGCGTGCGCTTTTTTTGTGGTTAATTTTATCTTTATCATCATCATCCTCTTCGTTGGTCAAGAAAACTACTACGAAGCGAAACCATGAAGCGGCTTCTTATCGACTCTGGATTTGTGCCAATGTCTGATTCATTGGGCTCTGTAGTCACTGCCTCCATTAAAGAACTAGTCCAATTACAGATCTTGAAGAACTACAGCTTTTTCTTCAAGTTGTCCTTCAGCACGGTACTGGATTTCACGGAGCTTAGTGGTGATGGGCTTTTAGGGTTATATAACCATAGGTAAAGGCACAGGGCCGAGATCCACGAGTTTTTTATATCGTGTTTGATCGACTGCGGCTCTCGAATCTTGATGTTTTGATTGAAGGGTTTCGCTCGCTGCAGTAAGGAAAAAACTAGTTGGGGTTTCTCCAGGAGGCATGCCCTGTTCTATGGATGCTAAAATTATTGATAGGGAATTTGAATAAATAATTTTTAATTTTGTATGGCTGGATCTATGGGGGTTATGGGTGATCTGCTGTTTAGCAGAATCCCCATGTCCTTTAACTTCATCATTCCAGTACTGAGTCATCTCTTATATGTGCCCATCTATATGGATCGAAGAAAGCTTCAGAACATAACGAAGACTTTGAATCTACTATGCAAAGTTTGTGGGCCTGTCGTTAAATCTTAGTTCTTTCAAGGCCAGGACTCTGCCTGCTCTTGTTGCTGGTGATAATGAGCACGACAATTTGAATTACTTGTTATGAAATGCACCTTTTTTCATATCATGAAACCTAAGAATACTGCTGCTGCTCTCTGCTGGCCAAATAGTGGGTGGAAATTATCTTTAGGAATTAAAAACCATTGCGCTGAATCTCTTTTTTGGGTATATTAGACTCGGTCTACTAGTTTGAATGAACGAACTGTTTGTCCTGTTTATGTTATAAGAAGTCTTTTTGTTGTCCTAATACTATATGGTTGCAAAATGAAGCCCGATTTCGAGTATTAGGGACTTGCTATGTTCAATTCAACATTCTGAACCAAGGGAGTTTTTGCAGTCCTTCAAAATTGGTTAACACGATCTGCCTCAAGGTAATGGCCTGTGGAGGCATTTGCTGGCAGTCTAGTTATCAGCTTTGGGCTCAATAGCAATGTTATAGATTTTCAGACTAGCTTTGTTAACCATTTTTTTCAACTGATTTCCGCTATTTCTTGTTTATGTTCTAGATTATGTGCTGATCTTCATCTTTTTTGCATCTTTCAGGCGTGGTAGGCGGAAAAGTCATCAGGAATTTGTTTCCTTTGGTGGGTTTGAAGAAAAGTTTGTCACATATTCTAGAAAGATCGAGGAAACTAAATCATTGTAAGCTTCTAGGATTTGTGATTGATATTTTCGAAGGATAAATTTTATGTTCTCATTGTAGTTTTGTGACTGGATTTTGAAATTATGTTGAAATTATGTTAAGTTTAATGATGTTACTGCTACAGGTGCAATATATTGACATGTCTCAGTTATTTCATTCTGCATCTTCATGTCATATATTTCAAAGATTTTTTTTCTTCGCAATTTGACTCGGTAGATATAATTATTTTCCTTTTGATTTGCAGTCTCATTTTGTGCTTGCACTGGGGGTGTACCCACCACTCTGGTGCAAAGTGGAAAGCAAGTAACAGCAGCATCTTGCAGAACCTGTGGCGGCAGGCAAACAGTTGATGGGATTTGGTCTCTCTGCTAAAGCATGATGAATACAGTACGTGTAGAACTTACGGAAGCTATTAGTACTAACTTGAATTGGAAGATTTCTAAGGGTTATCGGAGTGCACCAAGGCGGTCAAGGAAACTGGTTGATAGAAGCCAAAAATTGGGTGTAGAGCTAGCAGAGAAAAGTGCTAGAAGTCCATCAGAAACAACCGTTTCTGAATCAGAGAAGGTTAATACTGCACAAGTGTTCCTTTTTTGTTTCTTTGTACTAATCCTTTTAGTTGCACTTATGTCCTCATGTTTCTGATATAATTGTCTGTTTTGCAGCTTGGTGTGGCTGTACTTGGGAGACGGTTCGGTGACAAAATTGAGCATGTACCCATTAAGAAAAGGAGATTTATGGTCCGGTCTCCATCACCCCCGCCTCACCTATCTTCTACACACCTTGAAGACAACCAACCACCACTGGATGGGCGACGTGCTTCAGGTCAGAAGTCTTGTCCAAAATCAATTGTCAAAAAGCATCCCACAAGGAGTGATGCTTCTACGCTGACTAGGTTGTGTCATAGTGTTGCTGATAGTGGTGTTAATGAGAACTTAAATGAGGTGACAAATCAAAAACCTGGTGGTGGGGAGGACTTCTCTGGTATTGAGATATTGGCAGCTGCTGCCTGCAACAACAGCATAAATGATTATATGAATCCTGTTGAGGGTAATTCAGTAGGTGAAGATTTATCACAGGATGGAAAAGATGCGTCAACTTCTGCAAGGCCCTCAGAGCAAACTTTTGTTTCAACTTCTTCAACAGAGATGGGAACTGCTTCAGAATTTTCAGAAGCAAGAGATGCATCAGTCTCTGCAATCTTGGAAGAGAGTGTTGCATCACTGGAAACAGTACATTCGTCCATTAAAGATATACCACAAGAAGATAAGATAGAGAGCTCCAGTTTTGAGGCTAATGGGGTCAGAATTAATCCTAGCGAAGGACACGACGAAGCAGTAGCAAGATCCATTTCCTCGAAAGATGTTAGGTTGCACTGGGACCTAAATGTTACTATGGATGCTTGGGACGAACCTTGTGATATGGTGATTGGTGACCCTCAAACAACTGCAGTAGATGATATCTCAATGAATAATAAGCAGGGTTCAGAAGCTCTTGAGATACTGGGGGTTGAAGATGCTAAAAATGACATTGCAAGCACATTGCAGCCCCTGGCTGACAATGATGAACAGGGATTGAAAGTGTGATACTGGAATGGGTGCAAAGGCCTCCTCTCAGGATGCCAGTGTGGATGCATGTGTTGATCATTCTCCTTGCGATGACATCATGGTCACAGGCCCTGTCTCTGAGGAAACCAATAAAACACCACCTCCCATCTTAGCTGTTAAGCATATGACAGAAGATACTGCTCCTGGTGTACAACTGGGTGTAACTGTCTGTTCGGAAAGTGTAAAGGTTGAAAACCCTGCTATAGCTTGTGTGCCAGAGGGGGCTTCCTGTGAGATTGAAAGCACTGTTCTAGATGACGATGGTAAGGGCTCTGGTGCAACATCTAGCTTCCATGATGATCCAAAATCCCCTGAAGAGATGATGGGAGTAGAAAGTTGTCATTCACTCGCACCTGTGGTCCTTGAAGTCAAGCCTGTAGCTAAAACAGAGGATATGGCTGCTGACATTTCCAAACTTGATTGTGATGATAAATCTGCGTCAGGTGCATCTATTGGAGAAGGCCTATCTCTGGTGACTTTAACTGCAAAAGAACCAGTTGAAGTTATCTCTGAGACTCATACTGTTGATTCTCTACCAAAGGCTGCAGCTGGATCCTCCTCTGGTGAGCAATGCCACTATGGTGAAGGTACCACATGTAGCTTGGGTAGAGTCACTACAGAAGATCCTTCCAATGACAACTATGACTTGGATGTTTGTCAAGATGATAAGGATCACATGGTTGGCAAGGAAAAAACTATGGAACATGAAGCTGGTTATGAATCTCAGTATGAAGATGGGGAGTTGAGGGAATCAGATGTACCATATTGGGAGGAGAATGAATTTGAGGATGAAGAAGCTGAATGTGTTGACTATGGTTCTGATACATGTGACAGTGATGCTGCTCATGACTCTATATCAGGGAAAGTTGGAATGGGACTTGAATGCAGAGAAACAGAAGTATTTGGGTCAGAGTCTAGGGAAATTAACAGGAATGCGAAGGTTGTGAGAGGTTTGAGTCCAGGATCTGATAATATGTGTGAAAAAAATGAACATTCTTTGAGACAATGTTCCATGGGTTCGAAGACAAAAACTTCTGGATCTGATCAATTGCCTGGTGATTCTGAAGCTTCTTCAAACAGAACTGCAGAAGCAACTGAGGGCTGCACAGGAAGGAGACATGCCGCTAATTACTTAGATGGCCTTGGTGGCAAGTATTCTCCTGCCGAAGTGGGTGGATCAGTGGCATCCAACACTCTAAATAGGATGGGTCCTGTATGTGCAAGGAGGAGGTAAATTCGAATCTTTTTATCTTTCTTTAATGCCAATTTTGACATTTCTATCTTGGTTACCAATTATTCTTTTTGTTGCTTCAGGTTGCACAACTTTGATATGTCTTTTCGCTCTGAAGAGGCTGGTTCTGATCAGTCCATGGGAAAGGAAAAATCTGATTCGCGTATGCATGGTAAAATCTCTGGAGGTGCACATTTGGTTAATCCTTCAGGGGGTTATTGGGATTCCAAACGCCGCGAATCTCCCAGTTATCATGGTTCCTTTGGTTCTGGCCGCCCTAGACCAAAAAGTGTTGTTGAGAGCCATGGTTTTGAAATGGATCCAGATGATACATTTTCAGAAGCAGCAGGAGTTCACAACCGTGTTCGCAGGCAAGCTATAAGTTTTTCCTCAAATCGCCTGTATCAGCCCCCACTTAGAAGAAGATCGCCAGTTGAGAGAAATGACACACATAATATGCATAGGGGAGTGATACCTATGAGAGATACAAGTCCCGATAGGCGGAGGTTTAGAAGATACCCACAAGGGGTTAGTAGAGGCATCCGAGAGGAGTACCACAGGCCGATGCCCGATGATCCCAACGAATGTTCTTATAATGTGCCACGCCGAATGGCCAGGAGAGAGCAAAGCACTTCACCTCCTGGCAGAGGACCTATATGTTATGGTAGACCCTACAAGAAGTTCCAGTCTAGATGCAGAAGTCGTTCTCCTCTTTCATGGGGTTTACCAAGAGAACGGAATGATGTTTCAAGACATCGTGGCAGCAGGTCTCCTGATTATAGGCTGGATTCTAAAATGGATAAGCCAAGAGTGCCCTTTCAGAAGCACAGTTTTGGAGCAAAGTACGAAGTAGGAGGGTTCATGTCCCCACCAAAACGTCGGTTTTCTCCACAACAGAATTCCAGATGGTTTGATGATTCAAATAGTGGTGTAGACCATAATTTCAGGGGTAGGAGATTAGCTGGAAGGCGGTTCCAGCAGGGACAGAGGATTGATTCAGTGCGTTCGTCTCGGAGATTAAGTTCGGATGATTACTTTGAACCCATGAGTCGGCCTGCAAGATTCTCTGAGTTGGCCAGTGGTGGTGGCAGGGAATGTAGATATGAGGGCAGTGATGATGATAGAAGAAAACATGATGGAAGATTTGAGATCATTCATCGTGTGAGGCGTTATGATTCAGATGGTGTTGTCCGTCAGTTCCGTTATGATGAAGAAGATCGTTTTGCATCTCGCAACACACACAACTACGATGACTGCGACAATAGAGCTGCCGATAGACGGCCTCGTGATGCTTACGTAGGAGAGATAGCTAAGAGAAGGGTAAATTAAGGTTCCAATGTTGACTAGGAGCATTAAACTCCAGCCCCTGCTCCGACTCAATTCATTTAGACTGCAAGATGCATAATTTGAGAGGAAAATCTTCATCACCTTTGCCTCTGCAGGCATTTTCATCAAATCGATGTGTTAGTTCTCTGGCAGATAGGAGTTCTTCCCAATTTTTACTTTTTCATTTTCTTTCTTACTGTGATAGTTAAGTCCAAATATTCGTATTCTTCCCGGCGTCTGGCACTGCTTGTGGAAGCTACCCTTACCATTCTGATTGCGGCTAGGCAAAATTTTTTTTAGGAAGGGCCTAATGTTGCTTTGTTCATCTTGAATTTTGTTTTTATTTACCTTAGGTAATTTTAATGATTAGTGAAGAATGGCAAGCTTTTTAGTTTAAGGCTTTTCTTGATTCCTTCTTATAATGTGTTTACTTATGGTGTCAAAGAGTCTCTTTTTTGGCTTTGGCACTTCTCTCAGCTTTTTAAATAATAAATTTCCTTTGTTTTCGTGGAGGGTAATATTTAGACCTTATTCTTCAGTGACATACATTTGTGCCGACTGGTTGTATCCTTGAATTGCAATGAAAAAAAAGTAAATGAAGAACCAATCACTTTTCCTGATCTATCTGTACAACTACAAATTCTCCATATTGATCCTTAAACTGTAGTGCTAATCAGCTAGGCAGAGCCACTGATTTGTGGGCGAAGCAACGTCTTAATCAGCCATGAAAATATTTCTGTGTCTAGTATCTCAGCTTTACCAACTGAAGCTCATGGAATGGTAATGTAAATTGTTGTTCACCAAGCCCGATGAACATACTGCAGCCACTTCTTGCCTCATCCTCCTTGGGCCACTAACGAGGATCCCAATGCTTGAACCTTCACAATCAGACAATATGCCTGCAAAATAATGATATGTTAAAACCCTAACCCCTTAAAGAACTGTTGCAGAGTGGTTTGATTTAAAATAACTCACCTTTAAGATCAGGTCTTCTGTCATAGTGCACCTTTGTGGATTCCACAAAGGACCAATGGGGAAGGCTTTCGAGCTCTTGATCACCACCGGAGTAGCATGCACTTGGTGAAGTAGTTATCGGCGTGGATGCGTCTATGGCTTGAATCTGTCCCATCTCCTTGACACTCTGGTTCTTGTTCCACAGAAACCCTGCTGTTGCAGTAGTGGCTATGGAGACACATAAGAGTAACATGCTTAAAGCAGATCTAGAAGACTCAGAGTACATAATCTTATAGTCATGCTCATTTGGGTATATGTAAAATCGTGTGAGGATGCCCAGGAGCACAAGGAAGATAACAAAAGAGGAAGATATTATCATTGCAAGCCAAAGCCAGCTGTTTTGGCCTAGAATTGCAGAAACTGGTACATCTAAAGGGTCTGGCTTGAAACATATTGTTTGGAAGGGCTTGTGGGAATTTGATGTGGGTTCTCTCTCTCTCGTCACATAAGCTTCAATTTGTAATTGCAAGCAAGAAATGTCCAAATCTGTGCCTGAAACTGGGAGGATGAGGTTTAACATGGTGAGGTCCAGTGATTTCCTGAAAGCACATATGAGCAGAATCTGTGGAGTCTTAGTGCCTGAGTTATTGGCCTGAAAGAGGAGCTCCCGGATGATCGATATCAAGGGAGTAATGCCACTTCCTCCACTCACCATCACGATTGTGTCGTGCCTACACCGGATTTTCACCATGCCAATCAAGTTAGCTTAGCACTCACATTATGACATTATGAAAAACTGGGGAGTTGGGGTTTACTATGTAAGCACCTTAGCATGTTGTTTGAGACAGGTCCATAGGGTCCTTCAACTGAGACTTGTAGGCGGTCTATGGGCTGAGTGGATGACAACTTCTGATACAAGTTTTGAGACCAATTTCCTTCGCTTTTGATGACAACGCTAAGCTTGTCAGCATCCAATTTGCTGCTGGAAGTAACACTAAAAGGATGCCATTGCATCTTTGAAATGCTAGGTACATTTACAAACACCATGCTTGTTGGAGAATAACTGAGTCCTATAATCAAATTCAATGAAAAAGATTTAAAATGGGAAATCTCAAATTTCTGTTCTTTTTTCTTTTTCAGTTTTTGTATTTCTTTCTTCACCTGGGTTCTTGGAGAAGTTCAACTCAACAGCCTCACATGGAAGAACACGTGCTGAAACCAGACGAATTCTTTGTTGTGATTGCAAGAAACGCAAGAACCTATCGATGATGAATAGGTAAAAGCCTGGGAGCGTTGTGCAAGCATAGGAGAACTTCACATGAAGCACGTAGAAGACAACAAAGACGATGTAGACATGATGGGTGTAGAAGAAGAGCTCAAACATCTTGCGGCGTATGCGAAGGAAGCTTGTAGCCCACATGGCTAATCCGGCAAGCAGAGCGATTTCTCCAGCCAAATTGCAAATGGCAAAGTTGTCCCAGTTGAACATCTACAGTGGAGAACAAAACTGCTTCAAAGTGAGAATGGCTGGCTCATTTCATTTCTAAATTGTATAAGTTAACCAAATCACCTTCTATCTAAATGAGAAGTGGAAATTTATTATTTACCAAGAAGATTTGGCTTGTGTTGGCCCAATATATGATGTAACAAAGGCCGTGAGCCGTGAAGAGGGTCATGACAAGGTGTCCCAGCCAGATATGATACTTGATGCTTGCCTCTGATGTGAGGCCAATGAGCTGCAAAATGGAAGAGCCTCTGCTTACAGGGAAGAAGAGAAGGGATAGACAGAAGTTTCCAACTAGGCCTAGTGCTAGTGCTACAATTGATAACTTTGTTTCCCACCTGTCAAATTAAGTTCATTAAACATCTGGTTAATTATTTATATGAAGGAAAATATATTAAATTTTTTCAAGTTTTAAAAGCAAATAGAGATTTCTTACACTTGCTCTCCCTTGACTCCGGCATGTGCGGTTGCAAACATATTATGCAGATACGAAGAGATTGACCAGACAAGTAGTGCAATGGCCATCACCACAAAGGATAGCTCTATCCAAGAAACAATCCCAAGAGGACCTTTCACCAGCACCGGTCTCTTCCATGATGCCCAAAATGAACTTTTCACCCTACCAATCAAAGAGCAAATAAAATAAGAAAAATATTTGATACATGGAGAGAGAGAGAGAGAGAGAGAGAGAGAGAGAGAGTGAGGGTACCTTTGGTTGTTCTCATCAGCTTTCTTCTTTCTCCTGTGAAGCAAAAAGCAGCCCACAGTTGCTATAAATAGGATGGGGAATGGGTAGATAAGCACCTCTGCACCTGGAAATAAATAAGAGAAAACCATGGCAGCAGAGCAGAATGCAGTAAGGCAAAGGCTAAGATGTTTGAGTCATAGAGTTGCAGAAGAAAGTGAAAAAGCTTTGGTTTTTAATTATGAACCCAAAGAAAACAAAACAAAACAAAACAAAACCTTGTTTCTCAAAATAGGTAGAATCAGTGTTTTTAAGAATGTGAGGGAACCAATTCAGGTAGAAAGTATTGGTGGGCATCATGATCCAAATCATCATGTACCCAACAAATACCATCATCAGTAGCAACAACACCATTGATTCAAGGGTCCTCATTCCTGCACTAGAAGACATTTCTTTTTCTTTTGGCCCTTCTGAACATAAACCCTGATGATCTCTCTGTTTTCCAGTAAAGTGGTTTCCTGGATATCCTTATATATAACTTGCATATTACATAAATTTTACCTTTTTTATTTTTATTTTTATTCTTTGAGACGTAAAAAAATTTAATAATAAAAAAAGGGGAAAGAATCATAAAACATGTCAAGAGTTTCAGTGAGTTCACATGTAAAAATGAGAGAGAGAGTTTTAGAAGCCAAATTAGGCATCAAATAAAAGTTAGACAAGATGGTTGACTTGTAATATGGATGGTGAGTGAGAGAGTGCCAAATAAAAGGTCATTGTAGATACCGTACTGTCCGCAGTGTTCCTTCCAATGCAATTGTCAATTTGTCTTTGGCATAAACATACATGCAACGCCTCAGCTCTGCCTCCGCCTGCTCATTCCCCAATTTGTCCTCTATCTATATATTACTCTACAACGGAACACTTCTTTTCTTAGATATTTTTCGGTTTAAAGTTATAGAAAATTGAGTAGAAATGAGATTTTTAAAATACGTCCCGTCTTTAAGAAATATACAAGGTATCGTCTAATATATATGAATTAACAACTGCCTGCCATTCCTTTACATTGCCATGGAATAAAAAGAAGTTGACAAAACTTCAAAACCTAAAGACAACTGAATACAATGAAGGTCCGTCCGGCCAACTCCGGCCAAGAAACAGTACAATAAAGGTAAAAAAAAAAACACAGCTTAAAGCCAATCCAACCATTGAGTTCAATCCAATCCAACCAAAAATAAAAAACACAATTTTATACAGAATTTATATAGCATTATGGCACTGTACAGGCTGAACTTTGATCACCAGTTGAAGCTAATGGACTCGAAATGCAGATTATCTGCCAAACCGGATGAACAAATTTTAGCAACCTCATGTCTCATCTTCCTTGGTCCACACACCAACACTCCCACATCCGATTCTTTGGACCCCAACAGAATTTCTGCAATATTATATTATAAACAAAAAACCATAATCATTAATTTCTTCAAAACTGTGTTATTAATAGGGTGTTCTGCTTATAATAGTCGTAAAATAACCTACTTTTGAGATCAGGCCTTGTTCCATAATGCACCTGGGTGGCTTGAGCAATTGGGCACTCTTGATTCTGTGGATGGCTTTCAAGTTCTTGATCATGAGTTCCATAGGCATCTACGTTCTGAACTTGCTTCCCTTCCATGGCATTTTGTCTCTTGCACCAAAGGAACACTAAGCTAGACACCATGAAAATGGAGGCACAGACCAAAAACATGTACCAAAGACATGTGAAGGAGTAATGGTAATTTTCTCCAGTGTTGTGGTCAATTGGGTAAATGTAGAAACGAGTGGTGAGGCCCAGAACAAAGAGGAACAAGACAAATGAGGACGAGACTGTTGCAGCTAGCCATAGCCAGCTATTTGGGCCTAAAACAGCAGAAACAGGCGAGTCCAGCGGGTCGGGTTTAAACCATACTGTTTGAATGGCCCTTTGGGCCTCTGCCGGAGGCTGCTCTGTTTCTCTGGTCACGTAGGCTTCGATTTCCAAGTCTATTTGGGCAGCAAAATCAGCAGGGGCCCAAGAGATTGGAAACAATAGTTGTAGCATGGAGAGATCGGCTGAGTTCTTGAAAGCACAGATGAGCCGTACACGTGGCACATGGCAGTCTGGTTTGGTGCTTTGGAAAATAATCTCGCGGATTATGGAAATCATAGGAGTAATTCCACTTCCTCCACTGAACATCACCAGAGCCTCATGCCTTAGGAAATGAGATGAAACAGGGCCA